AAAAAAAAAAAAAAAAAAAAAAAAAAAAAAATACGACGCTTTTGATCGAATTTCCTCAGTAAAATATTGTCAACGCACTGATATATTTTTATCGAAAATTTCACAGGCAGTACATCAACATCACACGATTATAATAAAAACTAACAGAATTTCTGCCGCGTGTCAAAATACCACAAGACTCGAAGACAAATCAACGCTACTCATTCTGAAATCGACGCCCGACGTCGACTGACTGAACTCGACGCTCACCAAGTTCCTGATAACGGATAAACTCCCGAACCATCGTTTCTATAGCCAATACTCAGATAAGAATGTTACGTTTGATACCCTTTTGCAATTTTCATCATAAGACTTAGATTTTTCTTTAAAGACGCTACGATAAACATTGCACTCTTACGGTACAGAATAATCGTTATATCAGCCTCAAGGGAGTTCCTATAGAGCGACAGTGTCGAACAATAGATATTAATTTATATTCAAGAATTTGTGTGGCAAGTGCAGCAGAAGAAAACTGACGCATTCCGGTCGTAGGTTAAACAATTTTATGCTCTGATTAAACTGCTGGGAGATAACTTATGCTCATCCTAGAAGAGAACTTAGCATATGTATATATATTATACATATACTATATACTTGTACGTAATATACAAGTCAAATTTTCAATAGAGCCAGCTATACCAAATATTACCGAATGTTGCTTAAATATAGTCTGAAAATATTTTGTTCAAAAACCCACTTTTTTTTTTTAAATTACATATCGACGTACCAGGGAAGCAACGTCAGTACTGAAATTTTTTATTATATCGATCGTGTTGATTCGACGTGATTACGTTGCTGGGATTATTTCTAATCTTCATATATACATATATATATATATATATATATTCTCCCATATCGCTGATATCAAATCGAAGATTCATCGAACCAAAGCTGCTTGGCACGTGAAAGCGTCCATTCGAGTGAGCGAAAGTGAGCATGCACCATCTTATTATCATAATTAGTCCACTTATACCGCGCGCCAACCCCAAGAGTAGAGTGAGCAAAGCTGAAGTGCAGTTGCAACATTCTTACTTGTTGCACTTGAAGGAAGTCGAGCGCCCCGACGGGATTATATGAAATTAAAAAGTAAATTATCAGAATCTGATATAGATAGAACAATGTCATTGTCAACTTTTATCGGTTGGGTGCGAGACGTGATTTAAGATTTTGTTCTCCTGAAAAAAAAAAAAATTTTCTTTTCTTGTTTCAGTTCAGTTTCAAATTGAATAAAGATGTGACAGATTTATTTTTATTATTTTCAAATTTTTTTCTTTTCATACTATTCTTCATACTACTACGAATTTATTCGATTACTTACAAATGTCGTCGTCCATTTTGATTCAAAAAGTTTTGCTCTTCTCTCGACGCCCCTTCTTCATACCATTGCCAAAGTCTTCCTGTATCCTACAAGATTTTCCACTTTCCGAACTTTCGTGTAACAACCTAGACGGTCATGCAGGGCGGACACGCGGGATGATTACAGGGAAATCAAATCCCTCGAGGCCTTCGCAATATTTCACGCCGAGTGCATCGCCGCTAATTGTCATTGGGGTTGTACGAATTATCCCCACTACCCTCCGAATTTAACCCTCGTAAGAGACTAAATACGAAATAGACCTTAAAAGAAAATTTTCAATTTCGCCCTTCTGAAAACTCCCATTTGATTTAACGATCCTAGTCCGTACCACGAAATGAGTGATAATATATGATCTATGATAAATGATCTAATTATCTTAATCGATAGTCAAAGTACCATAGATAACGTTAACTGATCTATCATTTTGTTTATTTTTTCCAAAATTCAACGAACCGCTTATATTATATATATATTTTTTTTTATATACATATATATATATATATTTTTATATACATATATATATATATATATATATGTATGTATATAAAAATAATTTCTTTGACACAAATAATCTAATGCGTCTGTACCGCCGCAATATTTTTTTGTCAAAAAGTAATTATCGACAGTCTGGACCTTACGAACGTATATTTTTGATAAGATCGTCTCGATCCGATCGATTGCACATTCGGTACATCCGTGCATTGTGATTCGGATCACCCGAAGGAAATAGAGTAGATAGCTACATTGCACGGTACAAGATATATCTTGTGATTCAAGCCTGCCTCGTGAAAGGAGCGAAAAATTCTGCTAACAAAAATAATAGTATTTTATTTACTTTCATTATCGGCATTCAACCACACGAGATACCTACGTTTGCGCACCCATTACTTCGCGTCAAATCCAAAAGTGCTCGTCGTCATAAATATTCATCGCGTACGTTTCAAACAGTTACACGAGGAGCGATGCCTCTCTTTACTCTTTATTCGCCGCTCGCCCATACGCCTGCATTTATTTCCCGTAAACGTACGAGGCCCGCATACAAAACCAGGATAATCGGAACTCGAATTACCTATCGGGCCCAATGTGGCAATTTACGAAGAATGAATTTTATAACGTCGACACGCCGTTGAAAATACCTTGATTTTCAATACGTTAATCAAGAGCATGGCTAACGACCTTATTTATTATAATTGAATATAATAAATCGCATCTCATTTCAAAATAATAGTATCGTCATTTGACAGAGTCGTGAGTAACGTTATAAAGACAAGAAATAAAATTACACTGACTTAATCCAGGATATCACGGATGTGGAATAATAAAATAAAATTGATTAATTCCTTTGGATCAAATTGACTTGTATTCAATGTAGCCTACGAAATAGCCACCAAGTGACAGCTCCGCGCACGTGGTGCCCCTATAATCCAAAATTACCGTTTAACTTCCGCGCGTGTCAAAAGATCCCAAGAGTTGAAAGGTCGTGCGTCCTTTCCGTATTTTGCCGTTAACAAATCGAACACAACCCGGTGCGACGCCGTGCGTCGCGACACTGCGAGACGTCGCGCGATGCTATACCCATTCGCGAACTCCACTTCCAGGACTGAAGCGCCGTCGCACTAAATCCAGACGGACAGCGTCACGACGCCTTACGTGAATTCACCGACTTTTCTTATTCGAATTCGTCATCTAAATGCAGCCAGTCGCATCGCAATCATCCGAACGATCGTAGCGCATCTTTTAGTAGTCCTCGAGTAGTTAATTTTATTTCTCTCATTGGAATGCAGTAAGTATGGAGGCAGAAATGCGGGTTCGACGCCATAATAAATTTCGATAAAAATAGTTTCACGGGCAACGTCACTGAAATTGATTAATTCGTTTCGAGCACGATACTATAGAAATTCCAGAGACATAGATATAGATACTTCAATTTGATAACGTTCTATTAATTGAATTACACGGAAACTGTACATCATTAATTCATTACCAATGAAAATTCTTTGTATCCAGTTACCTGCCTACGTGGATCAATAATCATTTCCTCAGGCTGCATTGTGTTATTTCGGCGAGTCGTTTGTCCATTCTTATTTGCAATTATCAGACTATAACTATGTCAAAGTAAAATAAATATCTATACAAAATGATTCACATTATAATTCACTTCCGTAAATAAAAGTATAGCATGTTTACGAAAAAACATAATAATCGGTATCATATCTATTAATACAGCTGCGTAGGTGGAACAGAAGGACTACCAGGTTTCTATATAAGTAAACTATTTCGTAATCCGAATCAATATTAAGTCTTACTTACATTTTGTCGTTGAAATTTGCCTCTCGACAGTTTCGCACCTGGGTGGTGGTCCAGTCACTTCAATTATCCAACGGATCTTTCTTCGCTGCATCTGAAACGCCGTTTGTTCGATTACTATATCGGCGATAACGATAAAATATACTTCTAACCGGAAGGACAGCTCGACGATAAACTTAACTAACAAGTGAAACACTTGTTTTCTCGTTAATTCAATATATACGAATTGATACGCGTACCTGTCACGTGTTTATTTCAGATAAGTATAAGTACTTATATTCCGATAATACAAACTTGATATTCCCATGTAAAAAGCTGCAGCAGCAGCCATCGAACAACTGACTCTACATCCAACGCCGTTCGCTGATCCATTCGAAACGTCTAATGACGTAATATATATTTTCTATAAGGCTTAGAATTATTGTCACGTACCATCATCGTATCCCCTTTTAAGCAATGCTTAGGAAACCGTGTATATTTTGAGTTTATGGACAAGTATAGGAAATTAATGATAAAAAAATTACTTCTCGTATCAGTACCCACGAGAGAAACGAATTAATAAAATTGATAGAAGAGTTTCAAATCGATTTTTATAGTACTCACTGCTTTAAATACGATAGTAAGTTACGTCATCACCTCAGGCTGACTGCGTACAATTATGTCAAACGGTTACTTTATAAATTCAATTTTGTCACATATTGTATATACATACGTATATCACTGTATACGGATGGTAGAAGAGTTAAACAGTCACTTCGTTAAATTCGTTTTGTGTAATTAAAGTTAAGCAGTCACCGCGACCGATTACGCTAATTGCCACGTTCTTCGCATCATGTAAATTAAAGGATTTAGCTGCGATTGCTATGCGTTAACGTATCGAATGCTATGTTTTTCCATTTGAAAAAAATCTTAACACACTCAAAAGAATTTTAACGTGTAACGTACTTCGGGGCGCTGATGGCCTCTGCCGTTTCTGTGCTAAGTTGTTAAAACTCGAGAGAGCTAACAAAACTGTTGACCGTTCGCTTGAAAGAGTTCCGGCAGACTCCCAGCTACTCTCCATAACGACCTTTTATCGAGTGACACCTACCGATTCATGGACTGTGATGATTCGCTTGTCAGCGGAAATGATGATGCGATGAGTGTATATCTTTCTATGTTGAGAGCACGTTGCACTCTGTGCCTGCAGGAAAGTTAGTTAGCCGACAGAAATTGTCAGGACGCCTACACGAATTCTCGTATATGCATTTGCCGAGGTCGATGATGTCCATAATACTCTTTCTAGGCTCCTTTCAGATAATAAGTGAAACATGCCATTACGCTTAACACCCTACACGTTTAGTTATACTGTAGCACTATGATGCGTAATACGCGGGTCAAGAACCGTTTGAGTGATCAACGACTTTTTTTAAATTTTGTTGCTAAATTATTTTTATATTGCTTTTAACTTTGAAAAGATGGTTTGTGTATTAATGGGTAATTTAAGTGAGTAATTATTGCGCAAGGCGAATAGTAAATAATCTTTTAGGACTCATTTTCTGCTTTTTGATATGGTTAGTTATATATGTATTGTTAAAAATTTGTGCGATAACTTTTATCGGACTGAAAATATCATTTGATGACACTAAATTTTATATGACGTATTATAGGACTTTTATTTAACATTCTTCTAAGGATATGTCAGCATTGTTATTGTGGAATTATTTTATATGTAGTTTTTAGTAGCACATTATAGATTAATAGTAGCGCCTCCATTGGCGCCATGTTGCAACTTATTGAATCTGTTACCGCCTCAAAAAACACTTAGGTATAAAAAACTGTGTCATTTTTCTTAGAAATACATAAAAATATATACAAATTTAAAAAAAATTATAATCTTGAATGAAGATAAGCGGTTCATAAAATATTTGATTCCAAACCACAGGTATGAGTTGACTCCAGTGAATTGTCTCGGCGGTTCATGCCCTGTATAACTGGTTGCCTGTTCTTGATGCGAGATTCTACCGAGTCTCTTGATTGTAGATTGATGTAGTCGGGTATAGTTCCTGTCGGCAAATAACTGCTATAACGGTTGGGTGCTGACTGAAGATAATCAGACTAACATGGTAACATTCTCAGTCTATTTATCTCCAGTTTGCAGCCAATTTTGACTGTCGACTATCAGAAACGCTCGATAGATGGAAGTAAATAAAACTGTACAGAGGAACCGGCAAGTGCTGACAATTTTTATTATTTGGATATTATTGTATGTAGAACTATGATCTTTGATATAGCTGGTGACGGGTCAAGTTGAGTATCGGGGATAAACAAAGCTTTTGAATATATAATAATAGCTGTGGAATTTTACATTATCATTTGTTATTCCGCAAGCCGCTGTTACAGTTTAGTGATTTTACACAGTTAAAAAAAAATGGCAGCATCTATTCGAGCGACTAAGGTGCACATTGTTTAAATTATTTTTATTGTTTATGGCATGTTGGAGCCAAATTGTTTTCCAAATTTTTAAAAACATTATGTAATCGCCGATGAAACGTACAATCATGAGGCTAGTTCTTAAATAATAGTCTACCATATTTCGTAAAACTTTAGAATGACTAGTGTACAACTTTGATCGTGTTCTAAGAACTTATTTGTAATATTGTTTCAGATGTGAAATGTAGTGCAGTAACGCAGTAATCGTTTACTGGTGTGCACAAATAAAATGATTTTGCAGTGACTTTTCTATTTCTATGGTTTTGAACTCTATTTTTATTTTTAATTATTTTCTCAACTAAACTTTTTTGTTTGACTTTTTTTACAGACAACATTTATTCAGTTGAGGAATTACAGTTGTAACGTGAAGTTGAACGATGTCGTTATTGTTAGTGCTGCCAGAACACCCATGGGATCATTCCTTGGTTCATTGTCATCGATGTCAGCTACAAAACTTGGTGCTGTTGCTATACAGGTTGATTACATTTAACATATCTGAAAATGATAGTTTTAAATAGTCATTTGAAAGTATTGTTAATAATTAGGTTTTTATGTTTTTACTTTTAGGCAGCAATAGAGCGAGCAGGAGTTACCAAGGAACAGGTGAAAGAGGTGTACATGGGCAATGTGTGTCAAGCTTTTCTTGGTCAAGCACCCGCAAGACAAGCCACACTCTTTGCAGGTTTTTATTGACATAGATTACCATGTATATGATATTTGCTATTAGAAGCTGAGTTTAAAATCTTATTAAACTTATATAAAACTGATAAGATTTTCAAGATAATTCAAATTATCTTATTAGTTATGTAATACATCCTTCTTAGGCTTACCAAAGTCCACAATCTGTACCACAGTAAACAAAGTTTGTGCTAGTGGTACAAAAAGCATTATGCTTGCGTCACAAGCTTTACAATGCGGTCATCAAGAGATTGTAGTTGCTGGTGGAATGGAATCCATGTCCAATGTACCCTTTTATTTAAAGCGAGGTGAAACAACATATGGTGGAGTAAAACTAGAGGTACAAAAATAAAGCAAACAATTTCTGTGTATACTAATGTAATACACATGTTATGCTATATAATTGAAACAAAATTGCATGTTTTATTTAAAAGGATGGCATTGTTTTCGACGGACTAACCGATGTATATAATAAATGTCATATGGGCAATTGTGCAGAAAACACTGCAAAGAAGTTAGGAATTTCACGTGAACAGCAAGACGAGTTTGCTATCAATAGTTACAAACGCAGTGCGGCTGCTTATGAAAATCAAGTATTTAAAGATGAACTTGTCCCAGTTAACGTACCACAGAAGAAAGGTAAGCCAGATGTGGTGTTCACAGAGGACGAAGAATATAAAAGAGTAAACTTTGAAAAATTCAATAAACTGAATACTGTATTCCAGGTAAGATTATAAACTCATCATTAGTCAATGTGAAGAAATGTTTTTCTTATATCATTTGATGTGACCTAAATTATTACATTGCCGATTACTCTCTATTATAGAAAGAAAATGGAACAGTAACTGCTGGAAATGCTTCTACATTGAATGATGGTGCCGCTGCTCTAGTTTTGACTACGACTGATATTGCACAGAAGTTAAACCTTAAACCATTGGCAAGAGTCGTTGACTTCCAAGATGCTGCTACAGAGCCAATCGATTTTCCTATTGCACCAGCCCTTGCTATACCTACCGTGAGTTTCATTTGTCAACATTATTTTTAAATCTCTTTTCTTATCAAATCACTAAACATATATAAATAATGAACAAAATATTATTCTACAATGACTATTAACATCTTACTTCCAGTTGTTACAACGTTCTGGTGTGAAAAAAGACGACATTGCATTGTGGGAAATAAATGAAGCGTTCAGTGTGGTTGTCGTTGCAAATCAAAAGTTACTGGACCTTGACCCAACGAAAGTAAATATTCATGGTGGAGCCGTTTCCTTGGGACATCCTATTGGGTAACTAACAGTACATTTAAATATTAAATGCCTTAATAATTAGCATTTTTTTTATTATATTTTTTAATTGCAGTATGTCCGGTGCTCGAATCGTTGTGCATTTAGTACATGCCTTAAAGCCTGGCCAGAAAGGTATTGCGTCAATTTGCAATGGAGGTGGAGGTGCATCATCAATCCTGATTGAAAAGCTGTAAGTTACCTATAATTTCATACATTTATACAACACGGATCGGCATCTGATTATAAATGCAGATTGAAATATTAAAAAAAAAAGTATAATAGCACTCTATAGGCTGATTTCTAAATCGTAGCATTCACAAATCAGTCATCATCGAGTTAAACTCTTGCTACTACTGAAAGTATATTTTAATCTTTACTATGATTTGAATAAACCATGCCATTATACTTTTTATATGAATATATATTTTTTATAAGAGATGAAAAATAAAATGTTATCTATACGAATAATGTGTTTTTGACTCAGAAGCCCGTCAAATTCGTTCGAAACGAATCCTTTTAGATTTAGTATACACTATAAACGATAAAGTAATAAATTACAACCGGATAAGTCTTATAAAATTCCATAGGTCGCATCCGGTATCGTGTCCTCCAAAATTAACGCTATATACGAAGGATCCATGTTCATTATGCGATATTTTAAAAGATGAATTAAAAGAGAAATTTTCCGGACGTTACCAATTAGAGCAGGTTGACATTACGAAACCGGGAAATGAAGGATTTCGAAAATTGTATCGATATGACATACCAGTTTTGTTTCTGGAAGGACATTACCTTTGCAAGCACCGTTTGGATGCTGATTTATTGGAGAAGAGATTATCAGATCTATCAGTTAATTAGATAATCATTTTTTAATTGTATATACTTGAAATTGTATTTATCTCCTATAATTTATTATACGCAATAAATTCTAACAATCATACAAATCAATTACATGAAGCAGAAATATATTGAAAAATTACAAGAATCATTTGATTGATCGATTCGCTTATAAAAATTGAACACCCATCACTTCAGACACAATCTTTGACAATCTTCAACTACGCCATTGACGACCTTGACAGATACATATGAATCCAGTAAGGCTATTGCTCTCTCGAGAAGGCGATGGAGCAGGAGTATTCTATTACAGTCATTAGTTCATTTTGTCATGAATCAATATCTACACTCGGTTCTTATTTCATACGGTTTCCTTAATACATTTAATATGAATTAGTAAATATATATGACACCTAATTGTATTACGAATACGTACGTCAAAGTAACATTCATTTACTCCGTGTTTACTGTAAATTTCCACTCGCTAATTTCTAGTATAAGATGACATCCGTCGGAAACCAAGTAAAAAACAAATCTGAGGGAAAGTTCATGCCCGATAGATCATCACTTTCGAATAACGATTTTCTTGTCCTGTTTCGAAATTTAGAAAGGTCGTATCGATCTCGTCTACGGGGTCATTCTTACTAATCTAGCCAAGAAGGCGTGTATAAAATGACTATATTGGTATACTGTAGCAGCTATACGTTATGCTACGCGTACAGATATAGGTATAAAAATGCCAGGTTGCGCACCTGGTCGAGCAGGTACTACTTTATACCAAAAGACCCCTTGGGTGGTTTCCTCAAAGCGTAATCCACATGCAAAGTACAGTTTTATACAGGTACGCCTACGCGTAAGGACCGGTACCCGATCTTTATGATAAAATGCAGTACCATGGTCCGGAATTCACTGTATACCTCATCGTCATAATAAAGAAAAATGCCAGAAGGAATTCCTCTTGGACGAGAAGACACGTGGCACCAGGACAAAGGATCTGGATGTTTTCCCTTTCTAAAGGCATCTGTACGCCGATGGACAATTGATGGTTTCGTTATGTCTTCTCTCTGCAGAACATGGGATGCTTGCTGAGTGGAGGCTATAACATTTTGGAATGAATATGCCGTGGGTTATTGCAATAGCATTGATTTAACATTATAGACGTGAATTGAGTATGAAGTACTTCTTGTAGAAGGAGCATAGTAGATATACACGGTACAATCCGTTTTAGAGTAGCTATCCGTAGAGCGAAACGATACTTGGTTGGAATTCCCGTGTCCGGTTTGGCCCGACTATCAGGTACAGAAAAACCATTGGTTTAAAGTATTGCAAAGCCATTACTACTTATCGAATTCATCCGTAACAAAGGGATCAGCTGGAATTCAAGGTATGAGAATTTGGCCCTATAGGCTTTATCTAAAAATGACACTTTCAAGTGACGTAAAAATTCATGAAAAAATCGATTGGGCTTAGTACTATCTTTCCTTTAATATTCAACATTGACAAACTCACATTTGAATTAGTATCAACTGTTCTAGGAACTACTGGTTCTCACAGATATCAATTTTGATGAGATCTTGTGTATCAGATCCAATATAAATCCTAACGAACGATACGAGGCGATTGAATCGTACAGAAAACAATATTTTCGATAAACCGTGGCCCCAGGATGCGGCGCCTATGGTTTCGGTGCCAGTGCCGTACAGGTCTGCGACCGGCGTAGCGTCGAAGCCCGTAAGGTTCATAAGGGGCATTCGAATGCCTTTGCTAGCAAGCCAATCTCGACCTTACGGCTTTCATTCTTCTTCGCTGTCTACGTCTCGCGCTCTCTTTCCCTCTTCAATTCCTCCCTTCTTCGGCAGTCCTCTAGCTAACGCCATTCTCTTCTTCATCGCTCATTGCGAGTTCCAACTAGCTCCGTCCCTCGGACCACCACTGACTCGGAGCCAACACATCGCTCGGTGGTTCTGTCTCGTGCTTGGTCGCACCACCTCTCTTTCTCACTCTCTCTCGCCCTCTCGCACTGCATGCCTCTTGCCAAGAGTCTCGCAAGCAGTATTCATCGTCTCGGTATTCGTGAATCGGTGAATCGGTGAATGCACGCGCTAAACGCGACCAACCAAGTCCGTATAGTTCGTTCTTCTTCAGTATCGTGCAGCGTGTCGTACGTTTGTGAACGTCGTGAAAACACAGTGGCTGTGTATATTCGGTGCCTTTCTTTTTAACTTTTTGTTTAAATCGTTATTGTGCTTATCGTGATTCTCTAACGAGTGACAGTGTTATGTGGAATGTATCTGGAATATAAGTGGAAACCGTAAGTAATATTGTCTCAATGAGAATTAGTTAATATATTTTAATAGTCTATATATATATATATGCTCCGATCGGTGTAATCTGCACTCTCTTAATGATATAGTGAGAAATTTGAACAGTTGATATTCTGTGAATTAATATATTTTCGTTGGGCCTTAATTGTATGAACGTTTACTCGTAGGAATTTTTCCGTTCTTTCTGTTGTCCATATCTCGACCAGGGGTGCATTTGGTGCAGCCGCGTAAACATTGTGCAGTCAATACTTAGGCCATAAAGGTTAAAGATATGCGAGATTTTATTTTATTTTTAGTCATTTTTCTTGTCCTGCCTCTGACGAATTAACAGACCGTTTGTCCTAATTATTATTTCTTAGAATTTCAGATCTCAGACTATAATACGGTATTTACTTAATTTCACAAAGTATACATGGTATACGTGGTTACTTAAAAAAAAAATAAAGAAACGAAGAAAGCTGAAAAGGGTAGATAACGGTATTATATGAATATTTTTATTAGAAAAATATGACAAGCCATTAATCTTCGGTTGTGATAGATATCGTTATTCTCAATATTTTTATATTGTCGTTAACGAGCATTTGACTGCATTGCACCAAAATATATGGTTTCACCATAAAAATGTTTGTCATAATTGAACATACAGTTCATATTCGAAGCTCATATTTAAAACAACATTAAATATGACGAAGAAAGGCGTTCAGACTCGTTCGATTTCTTGCAAAGAATGCAGACTAGCTACAGTGTCAATCTAGGTGTAGAGACAGAAGAAGCGGATACTTTCGTCACAGGGTTATGAGGTTAAGTATGACACATAGTTCACTAAAATATCGACATTTCTTCTCTGCCAAGTGAAAGGGACTGAATATCATACGAGGTTCTGATTGCACGCGGAAGTATGCCGGTCGTGTGTAAGTGCCATTGTTCTTATGTTTGTTTACAGCTGTGTTCAAGATGTCAAATATCGAATGCATTGAAAGAGCAAGAGAGGTAAAATTCCATATTATAATCACTTCGCGAATTTACGACCGGTTATATCTGACGGAATTGGCTATCGCGGAAGCCGTTTTAACGGTAACATTAAAATACTCAGCGGCCATCTTGACTACTACTTGATGTGTAAAGATACTTTAATGTATTTTCAAATTAACTGACACTTGTTTCCATCTGAAAAATAGATTTAAAAAAGGAGATAACAAGCAGATAAATTTTCTAAATGTCACAAAACTATGTATGTTCGTAAATTTGTATCCAGTCTTGATTAAAGTGACGTTCACATGGAATGAGATGGAACATTATTGTGTAAGCAATATAATGAAAGCTCTGGCAGTGGGCTGCGCTCTACATACTACTTAATAGTGGAAAAGTTCAACGATCGTAAAGATTGGCGTGTTAGAAATATAACAAGGTCATCATTTTATACGAGCAAAGGAGGGCGGGGATCCATTACGACATATCGAGTAACACTTTAAGCGCCTTAAGCAGTTATGAACGTTAATCGGAATTTTTGTGCATGGTAATTAATGACGTATCTTACGAGGAAGTGTACATATCTATATAGATATAATGATTGTTTGCGGTAAAACCAAAAATTCTGACAAGATGCCTGTTCTACATCCTTCTACCTTAAGTGGTTCTATTTTAAATTTTAGTGTCATTATAAAATTTATGATGGATTGAGGTTGGTAATGTCATTATATGTTTCTGTATATTCAAGATAGCGTCTATTGTGCATGTTTGTATTTTGTTAATCACCAATAAGTGTTTATATCATTAAAATTTCAAGAAAGGGTTCACCCAATGGTGCTCATTCTCTTGTCTGGATGAGAATCTTAGGTTAGAATTGCTCGAAGCGACTAATTACACTGTAAAAATTGCTTTATTGCCTGCACATATAACGTTACGTTGGTAACGTTACCGATAACTGATAAAAAATATTGAATTTCTCAGTTATTTTACAAGTGGTTATGTCTCGTTTGGACATCATTTTGCCTTTTCTCGTCCTGCTATTCATCTTGCTGTGATTCATGCTCGCGCTATGCGTGACTCCGATTTTGTCTAACGATCCAAGTTTACGTATCACATTCTTCAAATTAATATTATACTTTTCCTCTGCAATTGACTGCATTTTATTATACGTCAAAGTATCGTCAGTCAGACACAGCCGTGTGATATATTTGTAAAATTTTATTGCGTGTTTAACCCATTGACGCAAATAACGGCTATAGTCGTCAAATTTTGTTTCTGAAGGCCATCTAAAAAATAATTGATATATTCATATCATATGCAGCGATTAAAGGAAAATGCTGTTGTAATTTATGCGCGTTAATTTTTTCAAGGGTTTCAAAGAATAAATCATCGACTGTGATGATATATCGTTAAGACCAACAAAGTCTCACGTCATCATGGCGACATTGTTTGAAAAATAAATACACATATGGATAAACATCGTGCGATATGGATACCTTATTGGGAATTCTCGATACTATTCTTACTTGTCGTCATCGACTACAAAACTTTTTACTTTTGCACAACGGTTTAGTCCGATTTTGGGAAATGGCCGAGGTCTCGACACAGATAAACGTAACCGTTGAAGTCGGTTTTAAATATTTCGTATCTAAGCCAGTGGGATTCTCAGCCGAACTTTTATGAGTCAGTATACCGTTTTGGTGGATACGTGAAATCTTATGGAAACTTGAACGACTTTTCAAATTTAAACAGCTACTCCATTACACGTAGTGAAAGTTATTTTTTCGTTATCTAGAATTTAGATAAGCTCCATGCTATTGGAGATGCGACTGAAAACCATAAGGGACGCAAGGCCTAACGGTTAATTTACCGTAATTTACAGACGTCCATTTAAGCTATTTGTGTCTAAACATCCCACTTAAAATGCATTCAAGAGAGTCGACGGGTCGTCAAGTCGAGGTTAATATACGTCCTCGTACGTTCCTTTTTTTTTTTTTTCAAATTTTCTATTTGATACCAACCACAGCAAGGAAGTGAAATGCAGTTACAAAGATTTATGAAAATACAAACGAATCGCCCTACGACGCACTGTAATAATTTCCTAGCCACCGCTATACGATGCTGCGATAAGGCTGCAGTTTCATAAAAACCGGACGTAAGGAACGTAGCATTTTTTTTTTCGAAATTTTCTTGCACAAACATTATTTCATGCCTTTAGATAGAAAAACTCTACTTCACCACGTTTCCACACACTTGTCTAGAAGTGAACGTGCCATTTTCTTTTCTGTGCCGACAGATATGTCGGCGATAAGAGGCGTATCAGCAAAGACCGGAAACTATTCGAGTATATCTATATTCATATTAGTATATCGTGCCGAGTCCAGATATACGTACATTGTTGTTATTAGTATTAATATTTTTTTTCTTTTATACAACAAAATTATATTCACCCAGGAGTCTCATGAAACCTCCAGTATAAATGCATTAATACATTGCACCAGATACTCAGACGATATCGTGTTGCCATATTGCATTATCAGCACGTTGTTAAATGTCAACCCACACCCAGGTTCAACAGCCAGTTTACTATCAGGACAGATCGTTGTCCTCCTGCTCTCAGTCCTTTTCCTCTTTTCCACCATAGATCCTATTGCGTTATAATGTTTCTAACATATCGATTAGGCATCGATCCACCCCCTTCCTCGTCAGTCATTTATTTTATTATGACGCTTCTGTCACGTGTAACGTCACAATAATAATATATGAACTTAACATCAAAACTTACATAATATATATATTATACATGTGACTAATGACATGGAATATTTTTTTCACGACAAAAAGTTTCTGTTGTAGTTTTTCTTTAGGGATGCCTTATCCGGCTTCGCTTAGTATTCCATTCTATTTTAATGTAATTTATACCGTAATACCTTTTGCTCTCTTATACTATTACGCATTATACCATTAGAACTGATGCTCAGGCAGATCAATAATATCACGTATAGTACCTATCCGGTGATATCCAACCTACAATTTTTATTCCCAGGTTCGTACACTTTTTTTCACAGCGCACAAATCCTGTCAATCATCAATAAAATTTTTAGCCTACAGCACTTCTTTCCAATATCCCAACATATCCTCAATAAGTGATTTCTAAAAGAATAATTCTCGTGGTTTCATTGAAAGAACCAATCAGTGCAAAATTCACTGATAAGAGTACGAGCATTAAAATTTGACGAATCGTCGAAAGGGTTCGTAAAGCCAAAAAAAAAAAACAGTCATCCCCCAAAGACGTGACAAATCGGTTGAGTTAATTTTTCGACGTTTAATACGCTCGGTAAATTTCAAAGCAACCGAGCAAAAAGTAAACACCGAATAATCAGTGCTAAGACGAGAAGCATGACGGGCAAGAAGCACACTAGGAAGTATAATGCTCGAGCCAAGAAGATCACTGCTGCGCACTGTATTCATAATATGATTGAAGTTCCTAGTAATAAAACGCGACTTGCATGTCTCTAGCCGCAAGATGAGTGCCCGAACTTATTACGTCCGCCGCTACAGGCTGGGTAAGTACATTTTCAGATTAGAGGTTCAACGAACTAGTCGTGCTTGATGCGTGCTTGATTTCGCGCATTAAGCGTCGATACGAAGCGCCTTGCCCACGTGACATTAGAATCCTAGCCCGATGTATCTTACGGGCTGGAAAATCATTTGGAGGCTGATGAGAATTTATCTGAGCATTCCTCTATATGTATGTAAATATATCTATAAAAGACTTTTTTGCGCTAACGGCACAAGGCACAGGCATCTTTTTTCGTCAGTGTAAACGTTTCGTCTCTCCTTTTCTATTTTAGCGTGTTGCGCAATACTATGCGATAACAATTGAACAGCAATGACAGCATCGTCACGACGACCCCGGTATGGCGTGAGATTGATGCAGGGAAAGGAGGTTCGGAGGGGAAAGAAAAGAAAAAAATGTACGAAACAAAATAACATTAGTCGTCCGTTTACTTTTTATATGGATTTAACAGATGGCAGACGCTTAACGAGAATCAACGGCACATTTACTAGACTCTTCTGTAATTGTAATTACGATGCACTTCGTGGTTAATTACGATGTGAATGGGTCGACGACCGATAATCTTCGTTCGGTGTTCAGACGATGACGTGTGTATACATGTACGTTGGGTATGGCTATCTAATTAATCGACTCGGCTACTTTTGCCGCTTACGAATTAATCATCGAATCTTGTCTCTCTCGTCTTTTGCATTACGTCGGGTTCGCGTCGACTGAGAAATTGGACTTTACGGTTTCACGTTTCCTGCTGATTGATGTCACGGAATTTCCTTCTGCTGACGCGACTCGGTCGGTTTGCTTGAATTGAGTCTGACGTGAATAAAAAACACGTGTAAAAGGTTGACTGCACTCCGTGCTGCCTGAGTTAAATGGATTTCATTCTGTGCGACTATAGCTAGATGCACGTATACGTGTATTATGTACGCTTGACTATTGATATATTCGATGATCATTTAATTACTGTATTATTAGCTATGACAGGTCGTTTTTAATCGAGCGTTATGCAGCTCTTGGATCATACGGTCCCAAAACCATTTCATTGAATGAGTAGAGAAATTGTATAGGAATTTTTTAAAACAGGCCAACAGGGATGGAGTATAATATTTTTGGATTTTGAAGTTAACATTTTTTCACACGCAACCAACCGTAATGATTATGTAGATTGAACGAACACGTCGAATGGCCACGTTAAAGAGTTATTACGTCCAAGGTTTAATTAGTGTTTTTAATTGCGTGAACAAAAATTTTTTTTAATGCACCGTGACCTTATAAATATGTTATAATACGTCGTGTGCAAGGAGATGGGAAAGAAATGCATATGATTTATTTAGTATCTGTATTTATACATGGGAGATGTATATGTATACATAGCTCGGGTTTTATTTTGATCGCGAGTCTAATTGGCGCTAACGGTGCGTCACGGGAGTCTCTATTTTTATTTAGCACACAAAATGCGAAAGTGTCACGCCTGTAGATACGTTTGTTTACTCTTGGATTATTTCGCTTTCAATTAATATTTCCATGACCTACCGTACTCTGGACTTTCGCGTATTACGGTTGCGTCGCGTCTGCAAATAATTGCTACTTCCTACCACGGTGTATCGGGTTTCGTTTCGCGACGGTGCTTCTTGATTAGTGGCTGTCGGAGTTTTGATAACGTTAAGATGACTGCCGAGTCGTCGTATTTATTATTATTATTTTTTCTCCTACTTTTACATAGCCGAAGAAAAGAAAATACACTTTTGGTTTGTACATTCTTTTTTTGTGATACGAACGATTTGTATGGGTCACGTGATGTAAAAAAAATGTGGAACTTCTTGATCGTGCGATTATGGATGAAAATTATGAGATTCGCTAATTAGTAATTACGTTCGATAAGCCTCAATAGAGGTCACGTTATTTTCTGTTCGTTAAATTTATGAGTTCTTAGCCTCGAAGGTTTCGCTATCAGTTTTATTGGATCGTACGATCTTGCGTCTTGTCGTAAATTTCATTCTGAGGTATAAAGTCTTAATGGTATGTGAGCAGTAAGGGAACGATGCGCTTTCGTCTAATGAAAATTATCTGACGTTCATTAATGTCGTGCCGTACGTTCACGGGGCAAATGGTATATATATGCTTTGAGGCTGTTGGAAGAAAATTGTGTGAAAATTTAGCTGTAATTTTTTATCGTAGAACATTGATAATATTAATATTTGTCATTGAATATTGACTTACGTACACCTTGAATGATTCTAGAGGTTGTATATAGATATAGGAGCTATACATTTTTCCGTGTAATAATATTTGCCAATTTTGATGAATTATCGTCCTCGTGATAATTGATCCTAAACATACCGGCGCAGTGGAAAAACAGCGTCATGCTGTAACGATCCTTTATCTTCGTAAACGTTCAGTGTTAACGTGACGTTCATTATAGAAGAAATGCACTTTGAGTTATACGAGTGACATACAGTCATTGGAAAAGAGGTACGTGAATTTTTCGAAAGTTAATTCACTTTTCACGCTGTTTCGGTATGTTTTGGCTTATCAGTGGATTTTTTTTTGTAACGGAAGACAGATTTATTTATTTGTATGAATTTGCTGGTTTTTTGACAGCTTGGCTTGATTTTTGAGTTAGGGCTAATGATTTTTCAAGGATGGTCAAACGGTCGGAGGAATCGTAAAAAGTGCCAGAGTTCCGGTCTAGCACCCGTACAAATTGAATTTAAAGGTATAATAAAAAAATGTGCATAACCGCAGTTTCCGTCGGTATAGTAGAGCAGATAAAAATTCTGTAATACCGCAGACTGCAATCGATTCGATAATAGGATTCTTACCGTATACCACTCGAAGAGGCTCTTATACTTTATTTTAAATCTTGAACGAAGATACATTCGTCCAAAATATGAAGACTGTTGATCTGCCCTAGTTAAATAGTTAAAAATTTGCGTAACAATGTCACGGATCCAGGCAAGAGTTCACACGTTATTTGTGGTCTCGAAGTGGCACTTGGATTTCTTCGGTTACGCTCTGACAGTCCAGACAGGATCTTTTCCTTCATTTTTATTGATCTCAAGACCTTGAAATGGCCAACAGTAACGACGGTTCAGATGTTCATTAGTCTCATTGTATGCCTGATTAAACAAGGTTTGCTCGCAGAGCGCATTTAGGCGCCAAGCATAACATAGAAATTCATATTTCTTATTGAATTATAATGACAATTTCGAGGTTAGAATGACTTAAGGTGTCTCCGGCGCTTCAGTCAGGGCTGGTGAACGTACGAAAATTTACTTTTCGCTGACATCTGTACCCAGGAAGCACTGTACTCCTGGCTAAGGCTGGCCTTGAGCTTGCCGAGCCTCGGCCCGAACTATCGTGTTCCCTGGTATATCCTGAACTGGATGAATATTTAAAGTCACCGACGTATTTCACACCCACGATCGTGTCCACCTTTCGGCGCACCTGCGCTGCTTTTCCCGTTACTAATATTCAGTCGCATTTCAATTCATCCCATCGCAACGTTAACGAAGGCTCATTCAACGGAGTTCAGGATGCAGCGTATCAGGTTTTCAGTTCGCCAGATCTCTAGCTGCCGTCATCTTACATAAAAATGTATCTGGGTTGAGTGTGAGTCCGATTACTCTAATAATAGGAGGTACGATTCAGGGTCACTGTTTACCGGTTCGAATGCGTCGGAGGGCCAAGAGATTCTAGGAGAGGTCGAGCTTATGTGGGTCAGGTTCGAGACTAGATGGAAAACCATCGTCCTCCTTTGTGCAAAAGTAGTTCAATTACCCCGCGGAAGGTATCGAGGTCCTGGAGTCTGTAGGAGTTCGTAAGACGTACGTGAAACGATGATGGGATAAGATTTGATAAGGTCAATTATGTAATTTTGTAAATTGATCCTTGAGGTCTTAATGAGATACTGAATGTGATTGTCGATATAAATTTGAATTGTATAATTAATTTTGAATTAATCCATTTCAGGGAGCATCCGTGACAAGGGTCAGAAAATGACTTCGATCGATATGGACCATGGTGACCTTATTGACCTTGACAGTGGTACCTGCGTTCCAGTCGAAGCTCCAGCATCGCCCGTCGAACTTCCCCAGGTGAGCCTTGAGGAGCAAGAACATCTCTTAGACGTCTGTCCCCCAAAACTCGAGCAGAAACTCTCCCTCACCCGGAAGCAGGAGCTCGTGCGTGACGAAAGTGACGATGGCAACGTCCTCGTGACCCTGGGCCACGACAAGCTGGTACCGATCAGAAGGAGGATAGACGTCGTTTCGTCCGATACCATTAGGAGGTTACGCGATATCACGAGGAACCTGGAGAGGGTGATCAGGAAGACGGAAGAGGACGTCGTTGATAATGGAGTTCGAGAGGAGGATGAGACTTTTGAGACGCGAGAGATCGACAATGCATTTTATTTTTTGTCACAACTAGAGGATAGCGAGGAGCAGGAGGAGGCTCGAAATTTGGAAGAACAGGAAGACGGAAGTCGTCTCGACGAGTCCGTTTCGTCGGACGGACCTTTGATGGATGACGAAGCCTTTTCCTCTTTGAAGTCCTTGGAATTGGCTATGGACGAAGAAACGTTCTATCCGCTGGAGCCGATATACTTCGTTGAGGATCCGTCGAATGGCGTGGACGAGGTTAGGGAGGCTGAAAGGACCAGTCGCTATCTCGATGCAAATGATCGTACCTGTGTCGCTCGGGATGACGACGTTCATTTGGATATTGAGAATCCAGCGTTTGAAGCTTCGCCCGGTTCGAAATCTACCTTGTGTCGGTCATCAAGAAGCATCAGGCCGTTATCAGTGGATTGCGATGACGGCCATGTTGCCAAGAAACCGCTAATGTCTTCGCCTATCACGTGCACGTTTGATAACGTCAGAATGCGGGGTGAGGAGTCTGCGAATATCCTGGCGTATTCGAGGGAGGACCCGTGCAGAAGATCGCACCAGAGATTCCAGCGGAAGTCCTGGAGCGAGAGTGTCAGGCATGGAAATGCCGAGGTAGGGAAATTCGGGAGATCGATCAGTGTGGACGTGGAATATATTTGCGGACCTTCTACGTCGGACGGAACGAGTCAGCGACGATCATCGCTGTCCGTCGGGTGAGTATCAAATGTCATTTTCCTTGATTCGAGGTTTTTCCTTTACACAGTAATGTTTTCTCGAATCATTGTTTCTTTAAAAGTCATTCGAAACTAACTTTGATCGGCTTTTTAAAACCCGATTGAGATTGATTGAACTATCGAAAACTTTACGTTTCGTAGTTTGTTTATTTTTTAAGCATTGTTCAATCGACAATCCTAATGATACCGAATACGTAATCTTCGTCGAAGCTCGATTGCAACATATTTGAGACAGTTTCATTTAACTTTCTTCGAGGAATGTATACTTTGAAATTTATACGCGCGACTTACCTGTCATCGTGTGACATATGAGTCTCGTAACAACTGCTCGGTCTAATGGGAGCTATCGTTAAATGTCTGATTGAGACTGGCGGTCACTAAATATCAGTACAATGACATAGCGGAATTACTCTAATTAGAATTGACGATGGCTTTCAGGTGAAAATAGGTCAGGCAATACTAGTTTAATTTACTGAGAATGTCCAAATGTCATGGGATTACGAGGAAATTTTAAAAACTTATAGAAATTCCCCATTCGCAATCAAGTAAGAATAAATTAATTGTGCTTGTTGACGATGCAGATGTTTTAATTGATTAATGAAAATTTTACTTCCATACTAATTCTATCAGGACATTGATTTAAATTATTTCACATCACTTTTACGATAATATGTGTAATTAATCGTGCTTTATTATATACGATCATGAGTATGCTCGTAATGCATTGATGATTCGTGAAAGCGTAAAATCTTTCGATTGTCATTTACGATTTCGACATAAAAAGCATAACTGTCAGATGTCATTGAAATCATTGCGAATCATCAAAGCGATTCGTATTATTCTATAAAATTTGATGCTCCCGTGTAATTGAATTTCGATTATTCTCAATAATGTAAAAATCAAAAAATATTTTAAATATCAGTATGAAACTTTTTAATTATCAATAATCAAAGTGCCGCCCAATTATCAGAGCACTGTCAATTAAGTCAATTTCTTGACACTCTGTTTTCAAATTAATTCATTTTCCCCTTCAACTTCCTTGTACGTCATTGAATTTATCACTATAATAATTGGACAAATTATTTATTAATCCGAGCTTCTGCACTTGTCAGTCGATCATTCTAAACTTTTAAAATCATTGTACTCTCGAGAACCTAGTCAGTCGTTCACGCGTGCATCACTGTACAAATATCCGAAAATCTCCAAAAACTCTTACCAGTCATCAAACCACAAAATGAAAAGCCTCTCGGTGGACCACTACGAAGACGGAAGCTGCGCTCCTCGATTGCATCCCAACCAGTCGAGCTGCGCTTAGTTGATTCGTTGCAAGCGAGTCGAGCACAATAAAAGTGAGAGTTGTCGCCCGATGTCGGTCACATTACGCATTTCTAAAGACAGCTCATAACGCAGTTACGCTTGTATGATGAAACTTTTCCGATTACGTGATAGGACCGTGTAAATACATATGAAACGGTATGGGAAAAGTCAAAAATATGGTTCAACCCGTTTTTCGGTTTTTTCTGAATCTGTTGGACATAGAGCGAAAAGGGCCTTATAATTTTGGATCACTGGTATTTCTCGATTATCCCATGGGTTTGACCGGCTCATTTTAATTCACTATAGCAAAATCAACGTCAGATTCGTAATCAGCCTGCAAAAATACATAAGACATGGTATGTGACATTGTCCCATAACGCAAGTGCATAAACACGTGATATAATGGAATCCAAACTTTTGTCAATGTTTCAAAATTACTTGACGTAAATTTAGCATCAATCAATATATGAATCATCCGTATAGAAATACCTGAATTTAATCATATTACAGCTGTAGTAGGTAAATACAGTTGCTAGTCAGACATTGACACGTAAAAGGCATGCGTGCGTGCATTTCAGGGGGGTCTTTTTTTTTCTACAACACTTTTTTGACATCCGTACACTTAGTCACGGATAATTTTTTTTTTTTTCAATGATGGATGCGGGTCTGTTATTGAGCGTCTGTGCTAATGGCACTCATTGTGGGAAATGGGGGTGGAACGTGGATAATAGCTAAAAGGGGTAAAACGCAGCTGTTTTATTTTTCTGATTCCAACGTGGTTGAGCCACCGGACGCGGGGGGTGCACTGACCTACGGAACCCCACAAACACAGAGGAAATACTTGACGGGTAGCACGTGGTGGTGAGCGTTAAGGCATTTTTGTCTAGCCAAGCTCGACCGGAAGTAAGGTGGCAGGAACGCAAGCTAGCGTGCATTCTCGCACCGGAAGACTTACACGCGTCCTCAATTTGGCACGTGGCTCAGGTTTTATTGTAAAGAAAATAATGACTGTAGATCTTATAGTTGTTTCGCTTATCCTAGTGACACGCGTGACCTATATGATCTTACTGACATCGGACGATCATATGAATTTGGCATATTAACTACACGAGAATTTAAATTCCTAAATAATCCTATAGGTTGTTACGTATTTAAATAGCGGATGTATTTACTGTTTTAATGTGATAAAGTTCATTAATCTATTTTTTTTCATCTATTTTTTGCGGCAAAAAATTTATAATAGGAAAGAGTGAGACTTTTGTTTTATTAAAAAAAAAAATGTTTTCCATGTTATTTGTCTCATTTATTTTTGGTAGTTTCGCGCAGTTGAGTAATGAAATTCTTTGTGAGTTTGCTGGAAACAAAATGAACACCATTGTTGTATCATGATTTGGATAACAGATTAGTACTAATGAGCATCCGTGACGTTTATCTTAAAAGCACGTGTCACTGTGTATACATCTAGGCTTGTCCAAATGAATTAACGCTAATCGCTCGGCGCTTATGGATAAATTGAAAATTTATTTAAATTTCCAAATCACACCCTCGTCCTCAGGATTTCCATCTAACCCTCCTTATTTCGAAAAACTTTGCCAACAATTACCTTAAAACTTTTTTCGTTCTCCCCGCGAATTTTAATCTCGACGAGCACTTATTCTCAGTTTTGAGCTAACAGAAGTTAAGGTAGCAACAATCGCGCGTTAAAGTCTCCCTCGTTCTCTCCCAACTAATCAACATAAATTACCTTTTCCTTTCGTCGATGCCCGGCGAAAACAATGCGCGGAACCACAACGAAGATCTCTGATCATCACGCGGAAAAAGACCAGAGCCCTATAAGACCTGAGCGAACTGGGACGCTTTCCCCCGAGTTCGCCATGAAAGTCCTGACTTCCCCCGAAACGCCATATGAATACGTTGGAAAAGCAGGAGAGTGTCGGTAGGGAGAGAATTAAAAAATCAAGTCTTCCCAGACCACGTACACGTAACTCGATCGTTCTCTAGAAAATTCTGTAAATCTTGTATAACTGTATATGGCACTTCTATCGAATGCGAAGTCCAGTTGAGTTCGAATTGTTGAAATGGCACATGTATCTGTGACAGGCTTCCGGAGACGTCATCGGACTACTCTTCCGAGTGCTCCGAAGTGGATTGGTCATGGGTAGAGGAAGTGGAGTGTTCGACGGACTCCCGGAGGGCCGAGAACGAAGAGGAAGAAGAGGGGCAGGAAGGCGACCCCACCACCATGTCCGCTACCGAGGCTCGCCGCATGCGCGACGCGACAGTTCGCGCCGGCGACTCGAATCGCAGTGTCGCGATGTCCGTCGCCGCGACGGGAAAGTCCTTACCGAGTGGTTCGCCAGGACCACCGGCGTCCTTGTCGATGACGACGACGACGACGACGTCGACGAACGTGAACAGCGCGAATAATAGCAATTGCAATAGCGGTGCTGCGAACGGTAACTCCTGGGTTCGCGCGTCCATGCGACGTCTTCGGCACCTGCGACTCCCGGAGGCCGAGAGGGACGAGAGAACGAGAAACTTTGAGGATACCGCCTTGACGATCTCTGCGCCGAACTCTCTGCCGGACATAGCCCTGATAGCTCCGGAGATCCTGGCCGCTCAAACCAACGGGACTTCCGTTCCGTTAAGGCCCTCGAGTGCTCCGGCACCGTCCAGGAACGTTGGCAATGGGTCCGTAGCTTCGCCCAGAAGAGGAAGACGTCCTACGAGCAGATCGAGAGGCAGGAGTCAAGGCTCTAGACGGAGCAGCGTCTCCAGGGCTACCGCGAGTGACACAACGTGTTCCAGTTCTTCGGGTTCGCCCACGGGAACCAGCCCTGCTTCCAGTGCTACCACCACACCGCAACACGCCAACGGCTCATCCAGGAGGTCTGTGATCATATTTACTTTTTACATTGATACGTATGCGTGCATCGTCTAGTTGGCTCGATTCAAAAAGTTTCCTCACTTTTCACGCTCTCTGCAGGGACTTTTCGATAGCCAAAACAGTGATCGAACCGGTATTGAAAACACCTGTCAGTACAGTGGCCGATTCTTCAATGAATCTATGTATACTGGGCACAGTTGATAATGAAAATATTAATAGCACAGTGACATATAAGGAAATATTAAGCTGAATCGTGAGTACGGCCATCTACATGCCTTCTGCATGTAAACGCTGTATAAATCCCTTGTTCGTAGAGTAACTGTGACAGTCCAAATCGTATCCGCTGTAGAGATTCATATGTTGCCGTGAAAAATTCTATTCGTTTAAGCACGTTGACCCATTTTCTTTTACCCACTTGCAATTATCCACTGGATGCTACGGTTGATCATTCGTCTCGCGCGTAATAGTTAGCTGCTCTCGAGTTAGCATAAATCTTTGTATCGCTCTTGTGGTAAAATGAAAGATTTAAGTAATTGTCGATTTTCAACTAACCTCCACATTATTACTTCAAAGTTTCGCTCGAATTAATTTCACAATCAGAGCATAATATTCCTTCGATAAGTCATGCTATCCTTCCACCGAAAATCAACGACATTCATCGTTGATCGGTTCAGTATGGACACGGTATGTTTTTTTTCTATGTTTATTCCTAGCATACAGCAGTGAATCGTGATAGGCACATAGGCACCACGTAAGAAATCGAGGTCGATCGTGGCGAACGGTGGCCAACTAGTATTCGATACGATTGCTGCGTGTTCGTTTTCGACGCACGAGGAATTCTTTTGTCTCGCATTAACAATCGGGAGGTTCTCACTGGAAAGTTCAGCACTCCGTCAGGCCCGATTTTCATGCGGATTTCAAGCTCCTTAAACGTCACAGACGTTTTCGTGGGGTCTCGATGCACACGGCGAATAGACAGTGCAAGTAGATCGATTGGGAAGTTTTGCAATTTGCAGTAAAAGACTTTCCGACTGGTTCCAATTAGTTTTGTTGCTACATAACCCAGCGGAAATGGGTATAGCTAAGGAACCTCCTGGTCGTATTGCTGCTCGTGAAGATCCTTTCGGCTTCAGCCGGCACGCATTGACTCTCCTTTTACGCAACACGATACACTTCGTGGGCAGCTTGAGAAACCGTGGTTTTACGCTGCTCGAGATCTGCGAAACGATAGCCTGGACAGCTGAGCTCTCTTGTGCTTTTTTCGATCAGAAGATATCGATGCTTTTCTTTATTCACGTCGAGGGATTCGTTCGAGAGGTCGAACGCGTCTCGTACGGATCGAGTTTTGTTTAGAGTCGAGAACCGAGGACATTGGATACTTGACTTGGCTCACAGTTTGTAGGAACTTTGGATAAAGGAAGAATATCGTGTTACATCGCGGATAACTTTTCAAACTTTGTATCGCAGTGCGAAAAGTGTTATTTCGAAAATCGCCTAATTCACAAATAATAGTTTCAATTTTTAAATTTATATTTTATACTGCGACCAATTTATTCGTATTTATGTCGATGCTATATTTTATTCTGGTGTCATATTTTCTTTGACTTTACATAAGGAAATAATTTTGTTTGCCAATAATGTGGAAATCATCTATGGTTCAATAACTTAATAGACTGGTAGTTGACTTTTATCATGTAATGAATCATAATTTTTGTGTGGATTTCAGTAATACCAACCGACAACCGCCTTGATTACTGATAGTAAGTTTCACGGAAATTATTATCAGAAAGTAAATAAACGGACGCTACATAAGTTCTTAGGAATCGTAATGACTCTTCTGAGCTTGTATACCTTCGTTCTCAACAATTACATATGTGTAGTGGTTAATTATTATCCTGCTTCTTGATGTACAGTTTACGTAGAAAGTAGCGAAGACTTTACCACAACGTATTGACTGTCATCATTGACATGAGATGCGTATAATTTCCAAAGTGTCATCGGTTAAATGAGAATCGTCTAATTGATAAAAATAGTATAATAAATAGAATAATCATTAAAAAAAAAAAAAAATTAATAACAATAATTTTCCCGCTCAAATTAAAATAAACTGTCGCCCGTGCCTGTTACTCATTTCACTTCGTTACTCCAATGAGCTAACGACGATTTGAATCATACGTTTTATATCATCACGAAGAACCAGGATGAACATCACTTCGTAATATCCAAGGGTGATTCCTCTGTACTTCCCGTACAAGCTGACTGACAGGTTCCACTGTAAAATGTTACAAGACGGTCGCTGACATAAGTCAGTGGTTCTGCAACATAACCTAGAACTAGATGCGAGAGATAGATGCGTCGCGATGACCAATTTCACTTAATCCCCATATATGCAGGATTAATAGTTATAGATACGATATGACGATTTATCTCATATCCTTAATAATTTCTTTAATTCCGTCCCAAATTTATCTGTTGACTTTATTTCTCGATCCTTCGTATGAAATTGAAATTTTTTAAATCGTCACTGCGTTCACGTCGCAACCCAATTCTTTAGACGGCGAATAAATCAATATAAAAAACCGTCCAGGTAACATACGAGTTTATCGAAGTTACAATGTCACACGTAGGAGTGGTGCAAAAAATAGTAGCGACCTAACCTATAATTTTGTCTCGCCGTCCAGCAACTTTCACTGTTGTGAATACGAAGTCATAATAGTTAGGCGGGCTTTACGAATGGTTACGATAATAAGTGACGACTGAACTTGCACCTGAACCTTTCGATCATTGGAAAGCGACATTGACTCGCTGGTTGATCGACCCTATGGGTGAGGATGTAACTCGACACAGCATCTCAGGTGAATCCGATTGACATTCGGAGCGTAACGCGAAATTTATGAACTCGTCAAAGGAAAGGTTTTTTTTTTATTTTTTATTTTTTTTTTATCGCGTGTAAAACCAAAGGATTCACTACTGCCGAGCGGTTATCTGGACGAGTCCCAGTGCGTAACGGACGCACCACCGATCAACTGTGTAATTGAAGGCGTCGAAATTTTTTTTGGTCAGTTTATATTCAAAGCCTTTCCACAGTGTTTGAGAATCGTCGGATGACCGGCTGAGAAAGTCTGAAGAAATCCCGGAGGATGTCGACCATGACTATTATCGTGGTCCAAGTTGAGAATCACTGAAAGTCTAGTACTGCTTATTCGGATAGTTACGCACCGGTTATTCCCTCTGCCATTATAGGAGGAGCCCGAGCGGCTTCTATGAGACCGGAATGTCGGATAAGCACTCGTTGTATATTTTTTTAAATTTTATTTTCACTTCGTATTATCTCGCCAAGTGCCGACGTTACCTTTTCGTTTTTCGTCAAGTCTAACGTGCGACCTGACTTTGCCACGCGGAGTGGACCCGAAAGATTCTTCGTGATTCATCAGTACTGTTGCACTGACCAAGTGGTCAAAGTGGCTGCAACACGAGACCCCAGCCTGTCCCGTGCTTCCTGACCGAGACGACTGTCTCCTGTTTTTCTATGACTCTCGGCCACAAACAGCCGAGCTGGAGCCGACCGGGTTCTCGTTGTTCCAGCACTCCTTACTTTCCAAGGGCTGGTAATGGAGCTTGAGAGAGCACCAGGATCCTCACAGCCGCTTCATATCGGTCTAGAGATTGTCACATTTTTTTTTCTCAATCTGAAATCTACCGTTTAGTGCTGGTTGACAAAATTTTTCGATGATTGTTGTTTAGGTATTTTTTCGAAAAAATGTAATTCCAACAATTTTTTTTTACACGGGGTTCATGATCGTTATGGTGAACTTCCTATACGGATCTCTGATGGTCGACTCGCACGTTTGTCAAAGGGACACTTATTGTAAGTCTTGCTTTATTTCAGTGAGAATAGTCGGGCTTATAAAAAATTGCCTCACATTTTATCCTGCTACTTACTGCTCGTATTATTCTAACAGTAATGCAACTTTCGGCATGACTAGAGTGATCGGCAATGCGGGATGTCATTGTGATTTTTTTTCTCAAGGTCTCTACTGCGCATTAGGTCTAATAGTGGCTACGATTCTGACATTAACGTGCGACACACGTGATAGTACTGTACAGTTTACTCTTATTGATTATTTTCCAGGTTGGAGAGGCCAAGTGACGGAAACGAGGCATTCTAATGCCACGAACTAAGGCCAGTGGCGGGCTTGGTCATGACAAAGCTTTTACGAACGGCGGTCGCCTGACCGTATACGAATGTTATTTTCAAAGTCGCTTATACCTTTTACAGAATTTTGAAAATAACGTTCGCCTTCCTGTACAGCCCTTGATTAGTCATGAAAATAATAATGGCAAGCAACACGACATTTTAATACGCCCATTGCACCGGGTACCGTGGGAACTTCAGGTTTCCTTCACAATCACTATCGGAATCAGTTCGTTGCACTTTTCACCTGTCACTGACAGATGTCATTTCGATTGACTCTGCAGTACATTGTTTTGGCACAGATGTCATACCGGTATCTTACTAATAACATTGCGTAGAGTCTCTTTTACATGTCCACCTATATTTTTATGAATGGAACTCGTATATCTATAGACATTGTATATCCAACAGTACCATCTAAAGGAGGTTGCGAATAGAATGTAATTTAGTGGGAGACGCTTTCACTTGAAATTTTTGCAAAATTTTTCCACTATCTTGCGAATATCAGTATCAGTAACAACATCTGGAACTCTCATTTCTCTAGATGGGTACGGCTTGACCGTGGTTCAATATCACATACGTGGAAAACTGGTACCAGGCTGGTGGTATCCGCTGTGGGAATACTTTCCCTTGAAATTTTTCAAAATCGCTTCGAATGCAGAAACATTTCTCTTTGCCGATGATAGATTAATTACATTATGATTAATCGGATCGATACCTTATTATTAACCTTGCTTCGATTTTAATTGCTCGTAACGTCACTTGACTCTCGTAAATGTTGTTGAACGATTGGTAAAGACGTAGTAT